ATTATATACATATATATATATATACATTATATACATATATATATATACATTTTATATTATATATATATATATATATATATATATATATATATATATATATATATATATATGGGTGTGAAGCTTGGGTGGTAAATGCAGCAGCGAGGAGACGGTTGGAGGCAGTGGAGATGTCCTGTTTAAGGGCAATGTGTGGTGTAAATATTATGCAGAAAATTCGGAGTGTGGAAATTAGGAAAAGGTGTGGAGTTAATAAAAGTATTAGTCAGAGGGCAGAAGAGGGGTTGTTGAGGTGGTTTGGTCATTTAGAGAGAATGGATAAAAGTAGAATAACATGGAAAGCATATAAATCTATAGGGGAAGGAAGGCGGGGTAGGGGTCGTCCTCGAAAGGGTTGGAGAGAGGGGGTAAAGGAGGTTTTGTGGGCAAGGGGCTTGGACTTCCAGCAAGCGTGCGTGAGCGTGTTAGATAGGAGTGAATGGAGACGAATGGTACTTGGGACCTGACGATCTGTTGGAGTGTGAGCAGGGTAATATTTAGTGAAGGGATTCAGGGAAACCGGTTATTTTCATATAGTCGGACTTGAGTCCTGGAAATGGGAAGTACAATGCCTGCACTTTAAAGGAGGGGTTTGGGATATTGGCAGTTTGGAGGGATATGTTGTGTATCTTTATATGTGTATGCTTCTAAACTGTTGTATTCTGAGCAACTCTGCAAAAACAGTGATAATGTGCGAGTGTGGTGAAAGTGTTGAATGATGATGAAAGTATTTTCTTTTTGGGGATTTTCTTTCTTTTTTGGGTCACCCTGCCTCGGTGGGTGACGGCCGACTTGTTGAAATATATATATATATATAATATATATATAATATATATATATATATATATATATATATATATATATATATATATATATATATATATATATTCTATTAGTATTCTATTCGAGTTGATGAACGAGCATGCCAAATATATGGAATTTTATGTTGACTACTAAATTTATTAATTGGAGGGAGAGATGAGAAGAGAGTGGGAGAGATGAGAAGAGAGTGGGAGAGATGAGAAGAGAGTGGGAGAGATGAGAAGAGAGTGGGAGAGATGAGAAGAGAGTGGGAGAGATGAGAAGAGAGTGGGAGAGATGAGAAGAGAGTGGGAGAGATGAGAAGAGAGTGAGAGAGATGAGAAGAGAGTGAGAGAGATGAGAAGAGAGTGAGAGAGATGAGAAGAGAGTGAGAGAGATGAGAAGAGAGTGAGAGAGATGAGAAGAGAGTGGGAGAGATGAGAAGAAAGAGGGAGAGAAGAGAGAGAGAGAGAGAGAGAGAGAGAGAGAGAGAGAGAGAGCGCTAAGTCATGGGGTTGGTTTTCACACAAGCTTCTACAGAATCCTAGAGATGTGTGGTGTCTAGGTGTTAGGCGAGATTTTTCAAGAGAGTGAGTAGGTGAGATACAAGTGTTACCATCTTCGTTCAGTGTTTGTTTTCTTTTCTTAATGAACGCTGACAACGTAGAATAATGAGACATAACACGATTCACAACTGTCAAGAGAGAATTAGCACCTCCTTATTATCGTAACAGCTGCAGTCATAGGAAAAAAATCATCAGTTGTAAAAAACATAGCTGATGGTGGTCTGTCATCCTAGTACTTATGCTTAGGTTATCAGTGTTTCAAAATTTACTTCTCTTGTTTCACAAGTTATCTTGTAAATGTTATTGATAGTATTTTAAATGTATGGAGTCTTTAATTCCACAAAATTCAACAAAACTGAGAATATTTTGCAAAGATTTATTTTAGATAGGTTACAGTAGCACCAGAAAGAAGCTACAAATGATGATTGAGTTTTGTTAAGGGTTTTCTGTGCCAGAATAATACCTATACTGAACAATTATAATGAAAATGTTGATAAAAAGAGAGTTATATAAATTTATTAGTGCCAACGTTCGTGCTAATGTAAGGCTGAATCATGCAATCTTATTGGATAATATCCAGTCAATTATATTTTTAATAATAATGAACCGTGACTTCAAATTGCTCGAAAATTCCAGACTTTGATTACTAGACAGAGAGAGGGAGGGAACACGCACATTAGAGCATACTAGAAATTATAGACATTTCAGGAAGTATAAAACAAGATAGCAAGCAAAGAACTAGCTAGAGGTAGACAGCAAAGTAAAGCTAGACAGCGTACCAGATAAAAGCTAAAATAGAACATGAGAGCTGAATAGCGAGTTTAAAAACGATCATGTGTTTCATTCTCTCTCCATCACTTTATATTTATCTCTCACTTCTCACAAGTATTTTCTCAGTCATCACTGATGTATTTCTCACCCTAACTGTATCTCTCACTACCTTAAGTCTATTTCTACCATATCGTAGTTTTCGTATATTCACGTATCTCACATTTGTCTGTATCTCTTATTTCTTGACTGTATCTTTTCCCTTCCTGTCCTTATATTACACCGTTCGTTGTATACCATGTTACAGTGGCTCAATACCCTGAACCATATAAAGAACATAGAAAATGACTCCTCTCCTCTATCTTTCACCCAGCATAAATCTCTCTCCCATCCTTCTTTCTCTCTCCCTCTCTTTCTCTCTCAGCCTTTATTCGCCTTCTTTTCTCTGTCTGCATTCTCTCTCTCTACTCTCCTTATCTTTCCCCTTCTCTCCCTCCCCCTCTCTTTCTCTCTCTCTACCTCTCCTCCTCTCTCTCACCCTCTCCTCCTCTCTCTCTCCTCTCTCTCTCTCTCTCTCTCTCTCTCTCTCTCTCACCCTCTCCTCTCTCACCCTCTCCTCCTCTCTCTCTCTCCCCAGTCTCTCTACATATTCTTGCACCTTATTATGCAGTGTTTATCCTGACTAGTAATCATATATTTTGTTTGACATGGCAATGGGGAAACGATGTGAGAGAAGGAAAAACGGGGAGAGGAAGTGAAGAGAAAGGGAGGACGGGAATAATGGACGTTGGGGAGGAAACGAGAAATAAGGGAGGATATAATGTAGTTATGGAATGGGGAAGAGAAAATATCAAAGGGGAATGGAGTTGGGTGGGGTCCAGGGTAGTGATGGTTGGGGATGACAAGGAATACTGCATGAATGTAAACAAAACTACGAGAAAAGAAAACAGTGATCATGTTGGTTTGACTTGTGGCTGTTCAAGCTTTCTCAAGGTAGCAGTAAAAATTGTCCAGTACTGTAGGTCGTATAGAAGCCAGTAGATCTATAGTGTAGGTCGTATATTAAGTTCACACAGCTGTTTGAGTATATACAGCTGTGCTGTATATACGGATATATACGGATACCCGTATATACAACTGTGCTGTATATACGGGTATCCTTATAAGAGTATTATATAGAATAGTGTCTAGATGAGTAGGACATTTTTAGTGTAGAGATGTTTCGCTTGCACAGCAGGCTTCTTCAGTTAAATACATTGATGGCTTAAAAATTGGAGACAAGAATCAGTGGAGAGGTAAATGCAAGGTGATCAATTCTTAGGCTTGAAGATGTAATATTGAGGTTCAGTCACTCAGCCTGAATATTTATTCAGCAATATATCCTCGATCAGTGGCGATAAAAGTGAATGCTTATCAAGGCTTAGGGACTGATCACATCGAAATCACTTCTTCACGGCTTAGGGACTGACCTTCTTAAAATTCACTTGACTGACAACTCAATACTCAGTAGGACTGATTCTACCTCCTCTGTACTCTATTTATAGGCTTACTGAGCAGTTCACAATACTCAATGTGACAGTGCTTCTGTCTGAGTTTACAACTTGTATAACTGTCTTGAATGTATAAAGTTGTAGGTGTACTCAGATATGAAAGTTATAGCACATCGGATGTATTTAAATAATTACCTGACCAATCGGTCATTGCGCAGACTTAGTGTTTTCCTGTTCTTGAGCGCCAAACAGACTCGCTCTAACTGTACTACGATTGCACATTATAGAAAGCTTGTATGGCTGTACATCCAGATGTATAGAAAGCTTGTATAGCTACATCCAGATGTATAAAGTTGTATAGCTGTAACAGATGTATAAGCGCTGATAGCGTGCTCTGGATGTTAGACAAGCTGTATAGCTGTGCCTCTGGGTGTTGAAGTTGTATCCTGTACTACAGATGAGGAAAGCTTGAGCTGGCTTCTGGATGTATGAAAGCTTGAAGCTTACATCCAGATGTATCGAAAGCTTGTATAGCTGTACATCCAGATGTATTGAAAGCTTGTATAGCTGTACATCCAGATATATAGAAAGCTTGTATAGCTGTACATCCAGATATATAGAAAGCTTGTATAGCTGTACATCCAGATGTATTGAAAGCTTGTATAGCTGTACATCCAGATGATATAGAAAGCTTGTATACCTGTACATACAGATGTATAGAAAGCTTGTGTAGCTGTGCTTCTGGATGTATAGAAAGCTTGTATAGCTGTACATCCAGATGTATCGAAAGCTTGTATAGCTGTACATCCAGATGTATTGAAAGCTTGTATAGCTGTACATCCAGATATATAGAAAGCTTGTATAGCTGTACATCCAGATATATAGAAAGCTTGTATAGCTGTACATCCAGATATATAGAAAGCTTGTATAGCAGCGCTGAAACAAAAGTAAGTCTTAACACTTACCATGAGGAACTGTTATAAGAAAGATGCACAAGTGTGAACAGCTGATGAAATCACCTTTACTGTGCTACATTCCTAAGAATTAGAGCTACCATCCCTTTCTGCAGGCCAAAACCTGACTACGGATTTAAGACTTTCTCCTATGAATAATAAAATTGTGGTGAGAAACGTAAACAAATCTCCAGCAGTCGTAATCATGAGTGTTTACAAAGTGAGGTGGGTGTAGATGAGGGGTGAGGAGGAGGGTAAGGTTGGTGGTGATGGAAGATTGGGTAGATTGTATGTTACTATTGATTGGGAAAGCAAGAGGTGCACCAATTAAAGAAAGTAAACACATTCCAGTCTAGTAATCAAGCTGGTTGCATAAAGATAGATAC